TTTTTTTGGTCACTATTTAATATTGACTGCCCGTGCATTTCCAAAGAGTCGCTAGTCACAACATAATTATCCTACGTACACCCGTTACCGCTTCTACTGCATTTTTGTGCTGTTTCGTATCTTGGACAAATTAAATGTCTATACGATTGACTGAATGTATAATTTGAAAATGTTGCTTACTTAGAAGCTCGTAAACTCCGAGTAGACAAAGATATGTTTACGGATACATACGGGAAGTGGTAAATATACTAATGATCTGAACTTGTTCAATTTCGTTAATTTTATCTTCTCTTACTGGACTAAATAAAAACTGAAGGAGGAAAACTTATTCAGTAATTGTTCTTGCAAAAGATCTTCTAAATAAAACGTTGATTTGGAGGTTGCATTATTGGTTTTCCTATATTTCAGGACTGCCCACATTTAGTAGGCTCCAAATCCGTGAATGAGAAAATTGCGAATTTGGACATTAGAGTGAGAAAAGTTCTTTTGACTTACAGATTATACTAGAAGGCATCTCTTTGACGGGGGTGTAAGATTTTTCAGAGGGAAATTGTTAGATCGTGGGGGTTTTCAACAAAATTGGGTCTTATTAGTCCTGTGACCCTTTACATTCTGATCTGCTTTCAAAATTACAGCTTATGAGTGCCTTTGAGGGGATGATGCAGCTCAAAGTCGGGGCTTACGAAAGGAGTATACTAAAATTAACTCTTGGAGACGCAATGATGAAAATACTACTAAAACTCAATTGTGTGTATTTTTATGTCAATTATTTATTATCGAATTAATAATGTGGAGGAGCATTATTTAGAGAACGGAAATGTAATGGCCTCATTACTTGAAAAAGTCCACGTCACCGTAGCCCGCCAATACATATGCAGTAATGTAGACTTTTAGATGAACTACGTTTTTGACGGTATTTACGATCGCTATGCCCTTACTGACCCATGGGTGCTTCTCCTCGAAGAGGACCACTACCTAGCTCCTGATGCTCTGCATGTCCTCGCCATGATAATAGAAAACAGAAAAACGTGGGTTGACTCAGTTTACTCATGGAGCCTTTGTTCTTTTTTCTTGCACTTCAACATAGTATGTTTTAAAACACTTTTAACCTTCTTTTCTCACATATCTCTTATGTTGGACCTTCAGTTACTGCGAAAAATGTGAAATTATTTCACTGGGATTTTATTTGAAATCCTTTACAAACTATGGAAATCATATTGCGAAACTTGGTGCTCATCCATGGTACAGCTCCAAGCACAACATGGGCATGGCATTTCGCCGCGAAACGTGGATGAAAGTTAAAAACTGTTCAGAGGTAAACTTATGCTCTCATCTTATCCCATCTCCACAAGCACTAAGAATCTATCTATTTTCACTTCTACATCACTAAATGTCCATTTTGCATTCTTTCCTCCATATTTCCATAGCTTACGGCTAACTGCAATACTCAATGTTTTCTGGGTACGACAGGGTTGCATCCGAGTTCGATGCTATCATAATATAGTATGGCTTCCTACGAGGCTTCCTAGTAATTTACTGTTAAGAAATTCTAGTTGTTAAAGTATAATCTAGCCACCATTGTAAATCATGATTCTTGCTTCACGAGCACATTAACTACAACTAAGCAGTGAAATTT